GGAGCTTTCATAGTCATATTAATAAATTAAAAATTTCTCTTCACTTAGCGTATAAAAAATTAAGGCGTTGAATATTTAATTTATTGTGAGAAACTAAACATAATTTCGAGAAGTTTAAATTTGTTACCTTATTAAGATATAGTTTAATAATACTAATAGAGTCTGTGAGTTCTCTTTAGAAGCATATAGCGGTGATTCTACGTAGAAGACGAAGTAGCGAATGCTGGCTATGTCTTTAAAGAATAAATACAACAGAAGAAGTTTTAAAATAACCTTTTTATTTAAACAATGTTTAATAGTTGCACTCACTTGCTACTCACAACTCACCACCACTTATGGCTAACTAAATTAACAGAAAATAAAAATATAAAATCAATATTAAATTAAGATGAGCAAAGCCGAGCCTAGAAATATCAGGATAAACTGAACGGTGTCTAATACCGACTAAAGAGCGAAATTCAAACACGCAACATAAACTTAGAACTAACTCCGCTACTACTCCTTCCGAAGTCTTGAAGCGCAGCTTAAATACTGTTTCTGAAGCACTTTTAGATTAGCATACAACGTATGCTGAAGTCCTTACAACATAAATCACGGCGTAATAAATAAATCTGATCCTCCTTCGCAAAGTTATTTGTCTACACAAGGGCATTATCTTGTAAAAATAATGGAATGCAACAAGCAAAATTCGTGATCTTCGAGAAATGACTGCGCTTTGGAATCTACTCTTCGCATTAATTTTTATACGAAACGTTTCTAGACAATAGGCAATTTGATAATTTCGAACGTAAAATGGTCGCAGAGTATAGATGCGTGAAGCGAGTTGGTTATACAAGCAATAGGCCACCATTTGCACCCTACGGTTACGGTTGTGCTAAGAAGCGTGCAAAAACAGTTGCTGAAATTCAATCATCAGCGGAATCAAGTTGCTAGAAAGTGAAGATGCACGAATGTGGGGCAAGAACGACTGCGCGATAGGTCTGAACTATCCCAAGGGGCATCATTGTCCGCTTTCCCAATGTGCTACAGCCATACCACTCATGGCACCTCCCACCATCTTACGGTGCTTGATTGAGGCGGTATAGCATTTACAACGGGCTTTAAGACGTCTGCCTTGAATCCCACAACATCGACAGGGTTGTCGTAGTGGAATCGTAGCCATTCATCATGGCAGCCAGCTGACCTGTATAATGTTCACTGAATTTCTCTTTAGTCTTCGAGAAGATTACCTTCCGGTTCGTGAGTGGAATGAACAGAGACAGTAGTCTCAATCAGTCTTTGCTTTACAGAGGCACACAGCTATTACCGGTGTAGGGTGCTATCTCACACGACAGCAGGTCAACCCTAGTCATCTAGCATACAACATTAACAGCTCAAAGGTATTTTAGTAACTAATTCCATTACCATCAAAGAACATTAATTCCAGAGGTAAGTGAAATTCCGTTTCGTTATTAATACACATAATTTTATTTACAATATTATAAAATGGTTATAATCATTATTATTAGGCACAACCTTCATCATTATTAGGCTTAATACCTTCGTTCTTCCATCATACTAAAATGAAGTTATAGAATATCAACAGAAACGAGACGTTCAGAGCGCCAAATAACGGCGCAAGCAATCAATTTATAACAGGTATTTTGAAGAAATTCTGGAGCTGTTTGCGTTATCCTTCATATCACGCCATCGGGGAGCCGTTTTTCAACAGGATAATGTTAGACTCTATTTAGCTTGTACTCGTATATCTCTAGAATCTCTACGAGCTTTTGCTACTCTTCCTTGGCCAGCAAGGTTCCCAGACATTTCATCAATCCATCATGTTTGTGAAAGAGTAAGCAACCAGATTCCGTCACCCCCAAAATGTCGGAGAGCTGAAGAAACAGGTGGGGAATCTCTAACGGAATGTATCGGAAAATGAGATTAGGAATCTTTATCACACTTTAAATCAACGTTTACAATCATGCATTGCCGTAATGAGGGAATTTAGCCAATTACTGATTTGAACATTCAATGTGCAATTGATAGCCACCGATGGATCCTATAGACTTGAATTTTAATCATTTAATTAATTATTTATGAGATTTCGCATATTTAATTACAACAAAAATAGTCGGTTTCTTCATAGTATTTCTTTTAGATTAACATTTTTGGGCAAAAGAGGAATTGTTAATCATTCTGTGAGAAAAGTGTGAAACTCGTCAAAATCCATAATAAATGTCTTGGCTGGTTTGCTCCGTATATCTTCACAGTCCCGTTAATGATTTGTGGAAAAAGTAACACGAGAAGTATTTGTGTCTTATAAACTCTTTTTGTTTTCATTATGAATTAGACGAGTCGTTAAATCTATTTAAATAAATAAAAGAATGTTATTTTCTATTAAATCTATGCTCATACCCGCATAACAAGGTGCATATGTATTAAAAGGTTAATATTCTGTAAGTCTTAAAGTTTAAAGTAATTCCATCATTAATTCTGAAAAAATCACTACTTTATGAAATAAATGAAAACAGACAATTTCATTTAGTTCATAAGAATCATCGTTTCGTGAAGAGTGAAAAAATGTGCATGCAAATTTCTTTAAAATCAAATTCATCCCAATAGTTAATCGAAGAGCTTAACTTTGACACATACATAGGTATAAAACAAGGCTTCAGTGTTGAAACTGCGTATTACAAATTTTCTCTTTGGTTTACACCATTAGCTTATATTGCTACAACTTTTGTTGCCTAACTTTCTCTTTTGTGTGTGCGCGTATGTGTATGCAAAATGTACATATCCTTTATGAAGGCAGAGTATTTTAATGAGATTGCACGATTATGTCACTCCTAAGCGGTTAGTTGTGAGTCCACTGTTCCAGTTGTAAAATTGAACCAAACAAGGAAAACTTTCAGCCTATTAATCTGTGAACACATTTCACCTACATTAGTTTTTACGAAGAAAGACTCAGTAGTAAGTTGTTTCTTAGCTTACTAAAAATCTTTTAGAAATTAAAATGATTCGTAATATGTAAATATTGTTCTACAAATTGTGAATGTTGCTTGCTTGTAAGCCACTTTTTATATAATAATAAAGCTGAAAACATCCAAGGTAGTATTAAAATTATATTTTCAAATTTAAGTATTCCTGTAATCTGAAATGAATGCTCCTAAGTTAATATTTTTCTAAGTTAAATTATATCTTTAAGAGTCTGCGTTTGAAAATTTAACATTGCATCTGTATAGGAATATTTACTTATATTCTCCAAACATTTTAAATTATGAAACCTATAGTTATATCACCTTTATGAGTATGGACTTTTTTGTTAGTTTATTTCGCTAGTTCGGTTATGAGAAACATTTTTCTTTTTGACTTCCCATCTCCTAAGAAACTCTAATGAAGCATAAAGTTTAAGGTATTCAAAAAAGGGAACAAAGCATAGATAAAAATGTTTAACTGGATCAACAATTTTTGAGTTAGTTTTCTGTTTGATGTTAGTTAGTTCGATCTTTCATTTGTTATGAAACCTTCTAGTCTTACAGTCCACGATACTTTTAATCTGTGCGTTGAAAGTTAGTCCAAAAGTATTATATACCAAAATGTTTTTTTCCTGCGTCCGTTATGTATGCGTTTTCATAAAAACTACAAGGAAGATTTCATTGCTGGGTTATCGAATTTCGTGTTTTATCTACACGCACATGCTCAAAGCGTATTCTTTAGGTTTAGAGTACATAAAGTATACATAAAAACAGCTTAAAATATTATTGTAAAAACTTCATTATGCGCAAAATGTTACTTAAAATATTATTGTAAGAAATAACCCTTAAAGAGTTTTATAAGAAGACATTAAGTAGCTGTGCTATTGATGCCGCACGCAGGAATCAGGATGCTATAGATGTCGCACGCCGTAATGAGGGAATTTAGCCAATTACTGATTTGAACATTCAATGTGAAATTGATAGCCACCGATGGATTCTATAGCCTTGAATTTTAATCATTTTATTAATTATTTATGAACTTTTGCATATTTAATTTCAGCAAAAATAGTCGGCTTCTTCATAGTATGCATATGTTTTGAACTAATCCATAAAAGCAAGAATTTAAGGTACCAAATGTATCACTGTTCAGCTTATTACATAAGTTCCTTCTAATTTCTTCTATCTTTTAGCATATTCATCCAGTTTCTGAACACGATTAAGAGAAATTCGCTTTTGGAAAACTCTTTGATTCCTTCATAAAATTTCTGTGCATTTACGAAATGTTTTCAAAATTTACCATTTTGGGAGGCTTTAATTCAAAGTAAATAAATAGAGCTTTGCTAATATGGATACGAGGATTAAGAACAGCTACAATTACCTTTCCAATTAGCTACTATAGAGTAGTTTAATAACAAGAAATCTTAATTACTTCTAGTTATGAATTTTTACATCCATAGCAGTTGACATTAATTGCTTTAAATCAAACAAAATACTGCTTCTAAATGTTGTATGTAGTAAAAATGCTTAAACAAAGTCAGTAATTGGCATCAGTGTCAGTAATTGACATTCAATATCAGTAATTGTCAGTAATTGTCATCAATGTCAATGGCAGGAAATGGCATCAGTGTCATTTTCCACTTCTTAACATGAAAGAATTCCGCTATGACTAACTGAAACAAACATATTTATGTTTATAGATCTCAGTCTGTAAAGAAGCAACCATTAACTTAACTTTGGTCCCATGTGAAACTATCGAGCGATTTACCGTCCTATCTTGGTACAGTAATTGTATACGGAAGAAAGTTTAAGCAACCTTTTTATTAAAGTTTCAAACATAGCAGCTTGAACAGCTAATGCATAAAAAAATTTTCAGTGCGTACGAGATTAAACTAACATTAAATGTAAAGTAATTTAATACGGAGAATTCATAAAATTAAAATCCAAGCAAGCTTTGGCACATGATGTCTGTGTAGAAAAACTAGCAACTTTTTAAATTGATATGATATTTTTAATGTACAATATAAGCATCTTTCCTTTTTTAAGGTGTATGCAACTGCAATCGTCTAGGATCTTACGATTTAACATGTGAGCCGTCATCCAGTCAATGCTTCTGTAAACCTGGTGTTGGTGGACCTCGCTGCGATCGCTGTGAACCTGGATACTGGGGACTGCATAAAATAACAGAAGAAAATAACTATGGATGCACTCGTAAGTATAGAAACGTTTTTAGTGTTTTCCTATTTGCGTTTCTTAGCCCTTTTAAGACTTAATTCTTTTAACAAGTATGAAGTTTCTATCCCAGGAATCAAAGCTGAAAACTGTACCGGGCAATATTTGTCCTCTCCCTCTTTGAAGTAATCTTATCCAAATGATCTAAGAAAAACGGTATTTTCTCGATGCTTACCTTCAGAAATACATTTCAAATAGCAACGTATTTCTTCAAACAGAACTACTCAACTACTGTTCATTACGAATTTAATTATGGTCTGAGGTAATAAAATTTGCTTAAATAAATACTACTTCATTTTTCAGATCTATAAAGCAATTACCGTAATTTCCGGAAGAAACGCCGCGGCATTTACGTGTTTAAAACTTGAATTTTCAGCGGGTGCGGCGTTTCTACCCATGCGGCGTTTAGGTGCACTGAAAATAAAATATTTCCTATGATGGTCATTGTACATAGTTTGGATGGCCTTGTCATTGTGCATAGACTGGTGCTGTTCCCCACACAAAAGACCACTCAGTTGCTTTTTGCGAACGTTATTTTGTTTACATTCTTTCCCTTGAACGGACCTACATGCCTTATTCACCCTAAACGAGATCTCAGAACAATAACATTCTTCCCCTTTTCAAATCAACATTCTCATCAGTTTGAATAGTCTCTCTCCTCTGTGATTCGATGAATCTTCCAGGACCCATCCTCTCCCCACCCCTGCCTTTTCTGCTATTTTTTCAAAGGCGGACACGACTCCACCTGCCTCGCAATAACAAACTCTGACGTATTTCCCCTTCAGGAATGGATTTTTCTTGGCATTCTGCCAAATACAGATCCCATCAGTTTGGGTACAAGTACTTGTTGAATAGTTTTTAAGTAAGAAGGGAGCGGAAAATTTTTAAAAATGTCTCTAAACGGCAAAGAAGCTATACATTTCTTACCTTTAATTTATTTTTGAGTTATGGTTTCATTTCATGCATTTTTCTTAACTGGTATGTCATATATCAGGACTTAGGTTGAGTTTTTGCATCTATACGGCCCACGACGATGTCACGCGCAATTTAATCTATTGCGGCGTTTACGTTGATGCGGCGTTTCTGTGCAATTTTAATTTTTTTCCCGCCATTTTTCTCGAGTGCGGCGTTTACGCTGATGCGGCCTTTCTTACGGAAATTACGGTACTATATTTTCAAAAACTGGATTCTAGAAACTGAAATATATTAAAAAAGACTATAACCGGTTCTAATTTTACTCAAATGTATCCCTGAGATTAGAACCATCAGCACAATTTACAGAAAGTATAATGGTGCAGGCATTTCCAGCTCAAAGATAACAGTATGAATGCTGTTGTTATATAGTCGAAGGTAATGCATGATGGAAGATAAATTGAATCCAAAAAAATATAAAAGGGCGCTATGTGACAGAAGTTAAATTTTACAGGAGCAACAAAAAGTTATCCCATCCCTCATAAGAATATCAGAAGACGTTTGTAAAACGCTGAACTATATGGATCCCAGTAACATCTATCTCATAATTTTTTGTTACTGACTTCTGACATCGTTATGAGGAATGGAATAATTTTCTTGTTGCTTCTGTGAAACATCACTTATGTTTTCTGTAATCATCACTCATTTAACAATTGGATTAGAAGATGTAAAAAGGGGCTAACATGTAGCCCCTTTTTACATCTTCTAATTCAATTAGCGTAGTGATTTTAATATAGTCTACTATTAAGTGATATTTGATATATTGTACAATTAAAATTTATATTAGTAAGTTTTATACTCTGATGCTGCTGAGAATTACAGGTAGCAGAAAGCCTTTCATTTAGTTAAATTAAAAAAGTCAAAGAAAGCTTAGTTTCCACGATTTAAATTATTTTTAGTTTGATCATTTAAGTAACACTTTTACTTTAAAATTGCGTGATTAGTTTTTACCAATAGCTTACAAGATAAATGTAAAAACTCTCAAGTAAAATATAGGGTCTGTCCTTAGAGCCTAGTTAAAAGATTAACGTTTTCTGACATGCGATATTTGTTAGAACAGTATATATTATCAAATGGATGAAAACAATCTATTCTGGAGAAAGGAGATCGAGACTCATGGCGGGAGGTAATTGTCTGCAGCGCAATAAATTGTCTAAGTCTCACAGTGGTACTTTTAGGCAGTACTCAGCAGATCAGAAGACTTTATTACTTAATGAGCTCAATAACAACCGGAACCACGATAAAAGAAGCTGTAAAACTGCAGCAGACTTTAATGTGTTGTGAAAGAAAGAGAATGATTTCACGGCAATGTTACATAATATGGTGATTATTGGCTGCTAAAACTAGTACATTATCTACAAAACATCCATGAAACGTTAAATTTCACTGGAGCAAGGATGATATTAAAGCTAATGTCACTTTACGTTTCTGTGTTCGTGACTTTTGCTTTCTATCTATCTTTAATAAATAAAAATGAATAGTATTCCTTAGAATACCTTCAGAGCCATCTTTTTTGTTTATGAACCATTGCACAATGGCAACTTCATTCATTTGTTCTGCTCGAATAAATTTCTTAACACTTTGAGTCTCTCTCCACAGACCTTAGTTTTGCAAAATGGATAGTATTTTCCTCTTAAATTGTAAGGAATTACTACATTTCTGCGTTCTGTGCTTTCTTGGTTAGTGCACCTAATTTTAACAACCAAGGCCAGTAGAAAAACAAGGTTAGGCTACTCTTAACGCTGACGTCAGCTACTTACAGAAATGAGAGAAAGTAGCCACCAAGTGTGTAGTTGCTTTTGAAACGACTATGAGTCAATGATTACACTAAAACGAACTCTAACACTACATAAAAAAATTCAGTGCTTATATAAAAAGAGTTGTAACGGCAGAAAATATTATAATGAGGTTGTCACAGCAGCAAATGTTAGAAGAAAGATGCGCCTAATAAACAACTATTTTATATAGAAATATATACACTGCTGATGCCATAACCGAAAATTAAAGAATGATGAGAATAATTTTTCTGAAACAAAAGCTAAAACAAAGAATATTATCTATACTTACTCTTTACACTGTATAGTGACAATAAAGAAGCAAAGTGCTAATAGAGAAGAAACTATGTTTCACATGTGATTATTTATTTGCTAAAGCTACTTATATTATTTATTATGGTCATGCAAAGGAATGCCAAAGAAAAAACACATTTACCATAAACATCTTAACAATCCTTGAAACTTCTGTAATACAGATGCGATGCATTGAAAATAAGAAAATATCAACAAAAGGCAGCGAAAGATGTACCAGAGAGACCTCTTTCCTACGATACTCGTCGTCCAACACAGGGATAAATTCGTTAGACGAGAATTTATGTTCTCCCTAAGCGACTTCAATTAAATAACCGAAGTTCAAATCTGAATGCTTGCATTCTCCCCAGCCTTGTAGTACAGTAACCTCGGTAACAACTAGAAGATCCATGATTCAAATCTTGGGAAAAAGAAAGTAAAGTTTTCAAGTTTCTTGTCGTAACCCAGAATTAAAATGCGGTGTTCGACAATTCGTCACCACCAGGAATTTTATGTCTAGTTCACTTACTTCTATTCGCTCGGTCTGTAAGTGGGATTGAATCTGAGAAATTATTGCATTTTCTCGTGAGTCTCTTGCGATGTAAGTGGTGAGCATGTTCATCTAGCAGTTGGAAGATCAGCGGCTGGTATCGCGTCAAGGACTCAGTTGGTTTTTCACCTTTCTCTCTGCAAACAGCTTAATAAATCTGTACAAAAGCTTATAAAGTTAACAGATTTTTCTCTAAGTTTGCTAAATCGAAAGGGACTCGCAGATTGCAGCAATCAGATTTGATAATATTTATGTAGTACGAACTCAAGTACGGTCAAGTTAAAGTATGGTCTGTCAAAAGTTTATTCTACCCCAGAAGACAGTATTAACAAAACAAAACAAAAAAAAATTATGTTTTCCATTTTGCTCGTGCTGATATGTAGATTTCATACACTGTAATTGCAAAATTTTTCAGTAATAAATTCTGAAACTAGAAGTGACGCTTGAATCTCACAAGGTTAAGGACGCTAACAACCCACGCAATTTTAAATTTGCTTAAACTTCTTTGATTACTTAAAAACATAACAGTTAATAACCTGTTGTTAAAATATGTCTGTTTATCATCATTATACGCTATTTTCTTACAATAAAGTAAGAGAGAGAGAGAGAGAGAGAGAGAGAGTAGAACATTTAAGTGGTAGTGAAAACCACAGGAAAGAGAAAGTGAATCTGTATCTTGTATTTGTACACATAATTTTACACATTGCGTTTATTTTATTTCGTCTGTCTGCATCTGTACTGATAATGTTCTATCGATTCTAAAGCTTTGTAAATGTTTTGCATAAAATAAATAATACCTATATAAAATGAAATGTTTTTGTAACAAATAAATTCGAATGGGAAAAATCTATCGTCCATTTCAAGCAACGCAACTTTTTTTATAAGATTACATGAGTCTTCTCTGCTTTTGAGTAGTAATGCCAGCTTAATTAGACGTATTTCTTATGCGAAGTCATTACGTTAATTAAGGTTTCTTGTGAAGCTTAATGTTTGCTTAAAATGTAAATACATAAAAATTGGTAGTTCGACCCTAGTTCAGCCAGTTGCAAACAGGTAATTTGCGTATTTGATTTCCGTGTTTCTCCCCATTAGTTTTGTAAATAGTAGCCAGCTCCTCTTAGAAATCTCTCCACGAACCCATGCCTTTCCCTGAGTAGATAGGCGTCATGTGCTTTATTTTAATTAATATAACCATACACATTATTCAAGTAACCTAGGATCAGACATCACGCTTTAAAACGACTCCCGATAATTAACTATAGCGAGAAAGTGATGTCAGAATTATATCAATAGCACATATATGTACTACAGTTATTATACTATAGTATATAATACAGTTTTTTTATTTACCTTTATCTGTTATTTTACATTTCTGTCACTGCCAGTGGCGC